CTTGAGGACCTGGCCAGGGAGGCCTCAGCCCGCCTCCAGGAACAGAATGTAAAGGAAAATGAGGTTTTTTTTAAATTATTATTTCAAAATGTTGCAATTACATGAATTTTACTGTTCAGAAGTCTCCCGCTTTTCATACAAAAATACTGTGCTACTGATACAGTTGAAAAAGTTCAAATGGCTTCCCCTGCAGGAGAAATGCGGAGTCCCCAGGAGACGGGAACCCCGGGCCACCTCAGTGGCTCCCCAAGGACACATGCCTACCACCTGGGACAGGGTTTCTAGGCACCGGCCCTGCCTCCCACCCAGTGTGCCAGGGCTTCTCTGCCTCCAGCATATGCCCCTGAACCAACAGCAGCAACTTCCCTGTATTTAATGGAGGGCTGGATGGCGGGGAGGGGACGACAACGCAAGCTCTCCCCGTGTGGCCATGACTACCTGCCTGCCCCATTCACACGAGACACCAGTCAGGGGGTTCAGTGACTGGCCTTGACAGCTCTGGGTCACTCGGGTCTGCAAAGTGCCTCATCTAGTCACCATCCTCGGGAGACCTGGCTGAGTCGGGTGACGTAGTCGCCACCAGTATGAAGAGGAAGGCTTTCCCAGTGAGCAGGCGGGCCGGGTTTGGAAACAGAAAGCGGTTACGTTACAGGCTGGCGGGCCCAGTCAGTGCCAGGAGGGGAGGCCAACAGTAGTGATGGGAGGAGCAGCAGAAGGTACGGTACCACTTACCATCGTAACAAACCAAGACCAACAACGCTCAGCCAGGAGATGCAGGTCTCTGGTTTATGCAATAGGAGTTAAAACTTCTCCGAAAGGGAATCTGAGGTCAGCCCGACACTTACTTGCTCTTTAGGGTGAGCACAGGGGATGACGTAGGTCTTGGGCAGGACTGGGCTCTGGCCTCGCCCGCACCTTGGGACAGCAGGAGCAGAAGTGACCCAGGTCCTGCCTGGTCAGACCCCCTGATCCTGAGAGTCCCCTCCAGACAGCTGAGGAGGTTCCCCTCAAAAACTCTCCCATTTCTGTTTAGATCCCTCAGTAGCGGCAGCCAGGAGGGCCTAGAGGGAGCCCAGGGCCTCCCCAAATCGGATTTTCTGTCCTGCTTTCAGCTTGAAGTCGAAGTCCTTGGGGGCCTCGAAGATGAGCACGATGGTGGAGCCCAGGTTGAACTCGCCCAGGTGCTCACCCTTGCGCATGGGGATGCCCTCCCTGTTGGCCTGGGTCACGAAGCTGAAGTCGTTGTAGGAGCCCTTGCTGTACCGCGGGCTGTTTGTGTGCAGGTCCTGGGGAGACAGAGGCAGAGCAGGTAGAGACTGGCTCCCTGGACCTTCGACACAGCCTGCGGCCCGCCCCCAACTGCTTGCAAAGGGCGGTGGGCATAGCGGCTCAGCCCAGGGGCCGGTGCCTAACCAGACACAGTGCCCGACACCCGCTCTGAATGAGGCAGGCCTCTGAGGGATCAGACCCGACTGTTCTCCAGCACAAACAAAGGTGCAAGATCAGGGGGCAAGGGGCAGTCACAAACCGACACCAAGAAAGGCCCTCCCTCTCCAGCCACCTCCAGGGAGGGGCAGGGGTCAAACTTCTGGTTCTGACAGATCTGGCTGCGCAGGGGACCCCAAGTGGCTGGGGTTCTGCTTACTCGGTCAAAGTAGATGCGGATGGAGCCCACGTTGGTGGCCCCCACAGCTGTCAGCGAGAAGAAGCCATGTTTCCAGTCCCCGGTCAGGACCACCCGCTCGTTGTGGCAGAAGAGCTCTTTGATCCAGCGGGCCATGCCGGGGTTCACGGACATCAGGGAGCCTGTGATAGCGGTGACACTGTACTCTCTGCCCGGCGGGAGGCCCAGCCACCCAGGGTCACACTCACATCACTGCAAACACTGAGGGGGCTGGGTCCCTGAGACCTAGAAGCTGAGGGCACGTGGGGCTCAGAGGCAGCCTCAGCCCCGTGCCGGCCTGGCCTACCTGGGAAGTGGCGCCGATGGGACACGGTCCAGTCGGTGGGCGAGTGGAAGCAGTGGTAGTCCCCGGGCGCCAGGTAGATGACGCAGTGGTACAGCTCGTTCCCTTCCCGGGTGACCAGTTGGCTCCGGAAGGAGTTGCAGGAGGCAGCTGTCGGGGGCGGACACAGGGCCAGGCTATCAGATGGGCACCCGATGTCCCCAGCTGGGGCCTGTGTGTCATCTGGACACGGGCTCCAGGGAGGCCCTGAAGTGCTGGACAGAGTGATCCTGGCCCAGGGGCCAGCCCTCAGTGCCTACAGCCTTCCCAGTGTCCCCTTCCCACCCCATTCCCAGCCTTCACCCTCTGACCTCGGGCCAGCCACACGGCAGCAGGCCAGCCAGGCCAGAACCCACCTGGTGGGAAGGGCAGGTCCTCCACAGAGGTACGCGGGCCCAGGAACGACTCCAGTGAGTAGGTGACCCCCTTCACCTGCTCCACCTCCGAGTTCTTCACCTGCCCAAAGTTGAGGATCTTCCCATCCGACGGGCTGATCTGGAAGGGCGGGCGGGTCTTAGTGCCAGGGATAGGAGGGGGGAGAGAGGACGCAGGGCAGGAATGGCCACCCGTGGGGGCTGTTGGGACTGGTTCCCAAAGGCACAGGCTACATCCTGTTTCTGGAGCGGGGAGTGGAAGGCAGGACCAGGCCTCACCACGCAGTGCACGCCACACACGGGCCGGGCCTGCGGCTTCAGCTTGCGCCGGAAGAACTCGCTGAGGTTGCGGTAGTGGTGCAGGTCCTCCACGGCGGCCTCCTTCATGTTCACCCCGAAGGTCCAGATGTACAGGCTGTAGACGGGCCTGCGCAGCCAGTGCGGCAGCTCCACCTGGTTAAGGCGACCCCAGGCCCGTGACAGCAAGCGTGTGGGCACCGACTTGTACAACGCCACCTGCAGGCCACAGGCGGGTGGGTGAGTCGGCCACCCTGCGAGCCCACTTGACCCCACCAAGGGGGCCCCCTCCAGAGACCTTGGGCACCCCACAGTGGCTTTGTGATGTGGTTTCTCACTAGGAACCAGACTGAGCTTGCAAAGTGGTTTCACAGACTAAGTCCTGGCCCAGACGACACGGGACTACAACTCCGGTGTTTGTCATTTCACACAGACCCGCCCGCAGCCATCCTAGTCCCTGGGGCGAGACTGGGCAGCACAGTCTTGCTTCTTGAAGCGGGAGGGAGCATAAATGGATCTGACACCGCCACAGACAGGCTGTGGCAGGAGGCCCTGGAGGACAGGAAAGTGCAGCCCAAAGTGATTCCCTGTCCTAACAGGACCCACTCCCCCGTCTGAGGTCAGGGACTGTGACAGGCAGATGCACTGTGTCGCCCACCCAGCAGGCAGAGGCATCTCCTGTGACAGGCTCCTCCCAGGTGGGACAAGGGAACCAGCCTCTCTCAGGGCCAGGTGACCCTTCTAGGTGCCGCTGACATGGGATTGCTAGTTGGTGGCTGATGTCTGAACACAACCAAGCCCCAAGGTAAAAGCAATTTCATTCCAACTTAACCGCCTCTAGGTGTTGCCTGCCTGATTCCCAGAACTCCTCCCAGCTGATGCTGGTACACGAGTGGCCACAGCTGCCACGTGCCCTCAGGTCGAATGTCCAGAGCTCCATAGCTTTCGAGACACCCCACCTGGGCCGTCCAAGGGCCAGGAGCAGGGCCTCCTCCTTGGGGCTCACCTGCCGTCCAGGGAACTGCCTGGGCTCCCATGTCCTCAAAGGCATCCCCTCCCCAAGGGCCCACACAGACTCCAGCCTTCCTGGACCGCCCTCTGGCATCCAGGAATTAGCTTAGATTCTTCTCAAAATTACCTTTAGCTAAGCTCACTCCTCCTTGAACAAGGAAACCAACCTGACACGGTTTTCTGAAGGCCCACACGGTTCTGTCCGGAAGCAGAGCCCCCGAAGGCACAAACGCAGGCAGACTGGCCCTCGGTCACCTGTCGGCAGGACCACAGCCACCGGCCAGCAGGCCCTCACCTTGCCTTTCAGCACCCCGCCTGGCAGGCTCAGCCCCACAGCCAGGCCCTCCATGACCACCGTCTCCTAGGTCTGGTCCCTACCTCAGGCTGCCCGGGTGGGCCCGGCCAGCAGCCTGCACACACTTACCCTGCTCACGGGCCTCCATCCCACCCGGCTGAGCGGTCTGAGGGCACCGAAGGGCAGGAGGTAGTAGAGGACCGTCAGGGGCCAGGAGCGCAGTTTCAGCGCAGGTCTGGACATGCAGCTCAGCTGTCCCAGCCTCCGTCGCAGGGCCAGCTGGGGGAAGTGCAACCTGCGGGCAATGTCCACGCGTGACGGGTCAGCAGCCGGGGTCTGGGAGCCCCACCCGCCCTGCCCCGCATCCTAACCACATTCTGACCCGGTGGCTTGGTCGCCTCTGGTTGGCAGCTCAAGTCCCAGCCCCTTACACCTGCCCCGGCTGCGGCGGACAGGTGTCTGCTGGCAGCTGAGACGCAGCGTGAGGTCCAGCTCCTCACCTCTCTGAGGAAGCGGCTTCTGAACATGGGACGGGCCCTGGGAGGCCCTTCAGGGCTTAGCACCACCTCGCCCCCACCCTCCTGGGGCACCAGCAGGCAGTCTGACCTCCCAGCACCCCTCAGCATAGCCGCGCACAGTGCGGGAGCTACTGCTACTGCCCGCGAGGACCTGGGGAACCGACGGATGGCTCCAGGCCTCTTAGTTCCTCATCTGAGTTAAGGGGCTGGGACTGACGAGATCACAGAGGAAAACAGCCCCCTCGCAGTGACTGCTCCATCCATCAGCATGGCCACTCGACACCAGGTCGGCTTCTCCAAAACCCATCCACAGATTGCTGGGGGAACCTGCCACACCCCTGGCCCAAGCCTCCCCAGCCCCAGCCCAGCGCACTCAGCTCAGGCGCAGCCTCTCCCCAGAACCTGGGCCTCCTGAGCCACATCAGTGAGGGCCGTGTCCCCTCAGTGCCGAAGGCTCGGAAAATGCTGCCGAGGCCCTAGAGCAGCCATCAGGAGGCCACACTGCCACCCTCTGAGCATCTGCAAACGGACTGCATTCAACTGGAAACTAAGTCCCCCAGAGAAGCGGTGTCCTTTGCCCCCGCCCCCACTTGCTGACCAAACCAAGGAACAAAGAGGCAGCTCAGCTGATACCGAAAGCAGGAAACAGAGAACCGAGCCGATGGCCAGGCCCATCAGGGACGGTACTGCCGCATCCATTGCTCTGCGGACTCCCCGTTCATTCTCTCACTACCCCCCCGTTTTTTAAACGGGTCTGGTTGGTGGTGGGGCCCAAGCAAAACCAGACAAATCCCTGCTCCCCATCCCACTGCCCCCACCCGCCCTGCTCACTGCAGAAGCACAGGGACCAATCCTGGAAGAGCTGCACCCAATCGGGGTGGGGGCGCCTGGGGTGGGGGTGCAGCCGTTTAGGTGCAGCGCAGACCCTGGGCCACCAGCCCGCTCCGCCTCCCCAGTACCTGAAGCGGGCTCTCCGACTGAG